ATAGGTTGAGATCGAAGAAAAATAGTTCAAACTCATTGAATTTTTCTTACTCGAATCGTAATCTACTTCAACAGATTCTGCGAATCAAATTCAGGCATCAAAAGTACTTACTTCATTTTCATTGATTCAGTCTCAGCCATTGGCAAGCTACAAAAGTTTTCAACGACGTTCTTGATTTCATCGCTTGAATATCCTGCTTGAAGTCTTGAAGTTTTCGTGATTCGATTCAAGCCATCAAAAAATCTTACTCGAAATACCTAGTTTTCGTAATACTTCAGTTGATTACATGGTCAGATTCGACGTTTTAGTATCTGTAGAACATGCAAAAATTGCAGCAAGTAGTTGCATATTGGAGCGCTTTGTCACCTCAAAGTTGGAGAAGCGTAACCTTTAATAGTAATAAATCCTTAGTCAAGCTATAGATCACACTATTCATCAAGTTTTGTGCTCAAAAAATTTTCCGAAGTGTGTTTATCGAAAATTTGTAAAATCCACATATCTTCTCTGACAGGTAAGGAAAGTTTCTTTTTGTCGAGCAAGGACAAGCTCTAGATTTTAACACTTTCCATGCAATAAAATAAAGTTTACCTTGTTTCAGCAGCTCTCTTGGGAAAACGCTGCCTTTCTTTTTGAGTTTTGAATAGAAGATGTACCATCAACATACTTTTTCTTTGGATCAGAATTTATATTTTCATAATTGATTAAGTTTGGTCATAAATTTTACTTAATAGTGCAAAGAAGGTCAATAACAGAAGAGATTTGAATGGAAAGTAGTTAATAAAATTTGATCAAGTCTGTTTCAAAACCGTACACAAAAAAATCACCCATTTCAGCCATTTTTTCAGAATACGAATGGCTTCGGGAATGATGCGTTGCGAATGTAACGCAGTCCATCTTACTGTAAAATGTTGTGCGCCTTGCTGAAAAGAAAGGCGAATAATTGAAAACTAAATTGTTAATTGAATTTATTTTTTGACAGCTAAGTAAAGTCATGTCATGTTGCTTTTTCAGCGACTTTTTATAATGGTAAAAGATCTTCAAAAGTTTGGAACTTAATTTATCGGTCAAATTTTCGTGTTATCATGTTACTTATCAATCGACTTGTTGTCGATTAATAGTCTTGTGTTTTGATAATTTAAATGTATGACTGATAATTTAAATGTTTTAGTTCTGACATTGGCATCATTTCTATATACTCTGTCTTTTTAAATGTTTGCAAAAGGAAGCTTCTTTATTTGTGAAACTCAAACTAAATTATTTTTGCTTATGCTCAATACTAAATTGTTAGAATACGGGTCCCGATTTTGCGGCGCTGAATGTTTTTTTTTACAATGGAGTCAATACTGAGACAAGAAGTAAGGCAACTAATTAATTTCAGAAACCACATCAAAATTTTATCTGAACTTAGTTGAATGTAGTAACTATCATTTTCTTTTCGCTTTTAGGTGTTTACTCATCTGTTTTGTTTTGGTTGTAGTATTGTAATTCTAAAAAGAAACACGGCAATATTGAACCCGAAAAAATCTCTCCTAAATATGCAAGTTTTTTATTGGAAGTTAATGCTTATTATTTTGATACTGTCCATGAGATAGTGATTTAAAGTTAGTGATCAATTTCTAGAGTTTACCCGCTTCTCGGCAAATTTGATTTTGAGTCAGTTTAATGTCGTATATACCCGCCCGTTCGTGTTCCCTTATGTGAGTTTTGAGGGTGAAAGTTAGCAGTGAAAAAACGACATGGAACCAAAAAAGTTTTCTCACTTTAAAACTTTGTAGCTGTGATTCGAAGCGCTGTTCAAATTTTTTTGATACCGTGCTTGAGATAGTGATTTAAAAATGCAGTCTTGATACATCATCTAAAAATTTTATGAACTTTCTGTTAAGAGCAGATTCCAAATTTGAAAAAGTATGAATTTATTGCAACTTCAACTCCGTCAAACAATTTCAGTTGTTGTTAAAACTTGTTGTTTTCATATGGAACGTGAAAGATTTCTAGTATAGTAGTGCTTTATAGGGACTCAGAAATTGATTTTGCTTGAACTAAATCAAGTTATTTTGATTTTTTAAATGAACATTCGACCCTACAAAAGTCCCAAATTCTAACTCGAGAAAAAGTTGTAGTTATGAACCGATCAATCAAATTAATGTTAAAAGCCTAATTCGTCCTTAAAGATTTTGTAAAATTTGTTGAACTTCATTAAAAGGGAGCTGCTATCGAGGCAGTTAAAGACTGGACTAAGGATTTTTTCAGGTATAAAATTAGGTCATGCTCTATAAAAAAAATTGCGCCTTATGGAATGTGCCCTTACATAGGTACAGAAGTCACTCGCTAGGCAAGCAGTACATATGTTTCAACTGTCAACAAATACATTGAAATTGAATAGGAAAAATAACACGACATTTTTTAAAATCTAATTGAACAAGACTGCAGATAAAAAACCATCAGATTATAATAAATACGCTTGCGATTAGCAAGTGCTATCAATTTTTTATGCGTTTCCGGCACTTAACTTGGAGGTGAAGTGTAAGCCTGGGACGGCTAAGGTCGTGGGTTCGAATCTGATCAGGAACTTTTTTCCAGCATGAAATGTTTCAAAAAATGTCGGCCAATAGTTTGTTTGCTTATGTTTTGTCGGCTTAGTTGCCACATCGTAGAATTGATTTTTTGATACGCAATTTTCAATGTAGTTGCTTTCAGTGTTTTCAATAAATCCTGCAATTTTTAATTTTAATAGCCGTGTCTTCGTATATTTTGCTGTTATGTTTTTCGCTTGAAAACTATCTTCGGCTTAAATGATTTCGGTTTGTATTTTACGGCATAGGGCGTAGAATAGAATTTATAGTTCAAAGTTTTGTCGGCTCAGTTGTCGCTGGTTAATTGCTTCTGAATTTTCTTGAAATGCCGTCGATTGTGTTTCTGGATGTGTTTTCCGCAAATACAGCACGATTCCAGGCAATAATTTTAAGTTGGGGTCATTTGAAGTTTTTTTCTTTTTTTTGTGATTTATTGTGATTTAGTGGCTTTCTTTTCCAGTCTGTTAGTTTGCGCTGCTTTTTGAGTTTGTTTCGCAAGTGAGTTTTTCAAGCGTGTTTGTTTGCTACTTCATTAAATTAGTTCATTGTAGAAATGAAAAGTAATTATCTGCTACTCACTAATTTTGAACTTGAATCAGTGTAATGTCGTGTATACCCAGGGGCGGATCTAGGATTTTCTCGAGGGGAGGGGGGGGGGGGGGGGTGGCGGATTTTTATAATTTTTTAATTTTGAAAAAGCAGTCTGGAAAAGGCGTTTTTAGGCACTTTTTGGAAAATTTTGACAAAAAATCGCGTTTTTTCGGCGCGCGCGCCCCCCTCGAAATTAGTATATAAATTTTAGGGTCGTCGACCAAAATGGATTTCTTAAAAGTACCAAAGGGGGGACCCTCTGGGTCGGCAGTGGGTCGAATCCCTAAGGGGAAGGCGTCCGCCCCCCTCCCCTAAGTCCGCCCCTGTGTATACCCGTTTGGGTTCCGTTATGTGAGTATTGAGGGTTAATTATCTACATGCACACTCAGAAATTAAATAAGCTATATATTCCTTAAATACTAGCAATCTATATTTTTTGAAAAAGTACTTTGTTGGTTTTATTAGCAGCCCTTTTGATCTTATATATTCGAATGCGAAAGAACAACTAATCCAGGGACCATGGATAAAAAAAATTCCCATTAGAACTTTGTTTTCTGACGCAATACACGAGTTACCGAGTTTTATAAGGTAATTTTTTTGATATATAGAAAAACATTGAGGAGCGGCAAAGAAATGGCCACGTCTCCGCCTCGCAATCGGAATTTCGAGGCCCACATTCATTGCTTAAGGGTGCTGCAATGTTACACAGACCAGAAAAATAGCAAGAAATTATGTAGTTTTTAAGCAGGGATACAACAGCCGTTCTCCGTGATGTTGGTTGTTTCCATTGAAAAATTGGCTTATGAGGTATGATTTCATTCTCATGTGCGATTTCAATATTTTTTGAATTTTAGGCTCTTTTTCCTTTCCCCCCCCCCACCAGCGAATTTTTAATTGTAAAATTTTGTTCACATCATCCGATTGTTACAAAATTTGGTATGCGGATTAGGCTATGACAAACATATTTGGTATTCATACTTAACCTTGTAAAACCCCTCGTTACAACATAAAATTGATGTATATGTGAGGTGGGGAGGGGGGGTAGGAAAAAAGAGCCGAATTTTATTTTAGAATCTGAATTACGACTGGAAGGGCTTTAGTATGACTTGAACCCCTTAACAGTTTTCTTTGAAGTACTCAAAGTTGACTGGTAAATTGTCCAGGCTACATTTTAGGTCTTTCCCTCATTCTAAGAACCACCGGAACAAAGTTGTGGGTTACTAAGTTCATTATTAAATGCGAGTTATAATCCAGTACCGTCTGAATTAGTTTTCAATATAAGTGTTCGGTTTTATTGGTTGTAGTGACATTGCTGGTGGTTTCGGTTTTGGCGCAAACGAAGATTCAACTGTCAAGATTTTAAAAAGGCTGTGCATCTGAGCGTTTATGTTTCTGGGAACTCATTTATTATCTTCTGTGGGCAGTTATTTTTTGTCCTGAGACCATTCTCTCTTTTTTTTTGTGGGGCCTTTAGCTTGAGTCTTGATCATGATATATAATCATATATTGCTTATGTCTTCATGTTCCTTGAATTGCATTGATCATTTCTTTCCTCTTTTCTTAGCGAATTGTTCGCCTCTGTTTCTGTATGCTCTTTCAGCAATCAAGCAATTTGAAGTTTTACTGGTCTTGATGTTCTTTTTTTGCCAAATTTTGTCTGTGAATTTTTTATCAAGGTCGCTTACGATCAGAATGTGCGTTTTCGTGTCAAAACAAAGAAATTGATCTCAAAATTGCATTATTCACGTGAAAAGTTTTGTATTCCTATTTCTGCTGAGCTGAATTTGAGTTAGAATCAGAAGATACAAATTGATGTGATGTTTTCTTTTCAGATCGGCAATGGAAACAGATGTCCTTGCATTGCTTGAAGAGCTGAAGAATGTGCAAAAAGCCAGCATTTCGCACCCAATAAACTTACCTCGAGAAGATACTCGGGAAGAAATTCTGAAATTGAGGGATTGGATCAATTCGCAAGATATTAAACGTGAGATTATTTAAATTTTAATTGCGCGCAATCACACTAAATATTTCCAGAAACTCAAGTTTCTGTTTGAACGTCTCGATAACGTAATTATTTCAGTAATTGTTTTCTGACGATATTTCAAAAAACGTGTTCACCAAATTTTTGGGTATTTTATGAAATTTGTAAATTCATGCGAGTCTTGTCATACCAAACTTCGCTTATTTGCTATCAGTGAATTTAATTTTTAGCCCTCAGACCTCCGAGAAAGAGTCTGAAAGAAAGACGACAGCAGTTGATGCCTGCTGGTTTTGACTGGCATCAAGTCACCGGATTCAACCCGAACAACCTCAGAAGTCGACAGCATCGGGAACCGGATCCAGTTCGAAATCAAAGCGCAATTCCTGATGTTCATATATCAACTGAGCGAGATAGCATCGAGGAAAATGTTGAGAGATCTCGCGACAGACTTGAAGATCGTCGAAGAAGTGTTCAGTTTGGTGATTCAATTGAGGTTTCTGGGGCTACAATAGGAGGCGGGCGGAGTTTACAGGACGATTCTTTGTCGTCAACAGTAACTATTCAAGGTAAAGTTGATCATCTTTGCTGCGAAATGGTAGCTGAATACTTTTTGAAACAGCCAAAAAAATAAATATCTGTACTAAAAAATCATAGTCCTTAATTTTTGATGAAAATTGATTTCATTTAGGGAACGATCCGCATCTTTCGTCTACACTTGCCAGTCTTCTAAATGAACAGAAGAGAATGCAGGCCCAGCTACAACAGGATATGCGTCATCAAGAGGATCAGTTCAAGGAGCAGCTTTCTAAAATAGCCGAGCAGCAGAGGAGGCTTATCGAGAGAGACACACTGAAAGACATCATTCAACAACAGCAGCAAATTCTGCTCTCGGCATCCAATGGTGAGGAAAGAAGTCTATCTAGCTATTATTAAGAACATAAAATAACGGTTATAGGCCCTAAACAATAGTAGCGACAAAACGTTTTTTTTGTAATAGTATTTAGGTCTTATTTATGAAGAATTTTTATAGCGCTGATTCTTCAAAAACTAAGTGGTTTTTGTGAATCAATATACAAGGTGTCTCAAATCTATTATGAGACTTATGTGTCATTCTTGCGAATCAATTAATGAATTAAATTAATTGAAGCGTTATTCTAGCAAACATAAATAGATAATTTTTATCAGGTCTGAATATGGCTCCACATCTACCTGCAATGTCTCCAGCCCCAGGAATGTTTTCTATGCAGAACCCCATGATGACTCAGACGCCCATGACTGCGTCAATGGCCTCCCTTTCATTTGGAGGACCTGGTACGGCTGCTTCTATGCATCCAATGCAAAATATCCAGCCATCAAGTATCCCACGGCCTGGCGGATTAAATCTTTCCCCCCAGATGTCTATGATGCCATCATTCAATCCTCTCAGTAGTTTAAACGGGTTAGGGCTAGGAGCAATGGGAAATCTGGGAAACTTTCCGACAACAGCGTCTATCTCATCTCCTAGCGTGCCTCCGGCAATGATTGGAATGCAGATGCCCTCAGCTGCACTTTTCGGACAGGGGGCTTCTGGGAGTAGTTCTGGAATGGGCATGCGTTTTGCTAGTCCTGGAATTCAAATTGATAATACGCGTGTGTGTTCCACGTCGCAACCAAACTTGACCAATGCATTAAAGGTAAGTTGATCTTTTTATGCGCTTATTTTCGAAGCTTTCTTAATGTAGGACGTGATTTTCGTTACCAACGTTTTATGAAATAGGAAGGCGAAATTATGTTCGAGGTGGGTTTTTGTAGTATCGTATTATGTCATCGCCTATTCAGACTCGATTAGAATCACATAAAGTACCGATTTTTAATTAGTTTTTAAAGATCAGATATCATCATGGTAACCGAAGTTTCTAACACTAGTCCTTCATCGTTTCACCAAGTCAAAAACCATTGGAATTTCATTAATTAGGGAAAAGTAAACGCGGAGGAAATTAAAGAGAGCGTCAGATGGTTGGTAATCAAGCCAATCAGATTGAGAAAACTAACACCTGCTCAGAATAAACCGTTTTCTTTTAACAATTTGCAAGTTCATATAGGATGTAATTTTCACTTACGGCTGCTTGAAGTTTTTTGCTCACACGCTTGTGGTGTCTGTGTTCTCTTTTCAATCGAAGTCCAGATGTGGCAGCCGCTGAGGCGGTGGACTCGAAGTCTAGAGGTCAGTCGGTTGAAACCCGTAGTCGGAATCCATGAAAGAAAACTTTTTTTTTGCTGTTTGTTTGTCCGAAATTTTTCAAAGCTTCCTTTTTGTGTGTTTTGCGCTGGTTTATGCGTAGTTAAACTTGTCTCAGTGAATAAACTTGTTCATAGGTAGATCAAATTTCACAAATGGTAAAAGATCTTTCTTGAAAGTTCAATCCTAATTTGAATGATTGCAATGCATGGTTTCAGTATAAATTGGGTATCTAATCTGTCAGACATTAGTACAAAAACTAGCCAATTGATCTAAAACGGCGAATTTTAAGGTGGTTAGAAGTGTTCATAAATTCTATCATCATCTATTAAGGTCCGACCATTGAAATTTGTAAAAACTTCGTGTTCGGGTGTGTTTCAGTGTTTTTTATAATAATCGAAAGAAGTGATATATCGCGAGAGATAGTAAAGCCTTTTGAGTGATATTGGAGCCATTCTAGTAATATTGAAGCCCTTTCAGTCGTGATTCGAACGACATTAAAAAATTTTGAAAATTTTTGTTCAGTTTCGAGTTAAACTAGTTTGAAGTTTTTGATATTTGGTCGAAGTTCGAGCTAATAAAGCGAGCGAGCAGGCTCATTTATGCTTATTTAAGGCCGTCTACATCAGCTGATGTGTGCCTTTTTTACTGAATAAAAGTTGTTTGTTTTTTCAAGCTTTAAACATACAGCAATGTTTTTTAGTTTTTCTACAAAAAATGTTATGCAATTTGCAAATTTTACTATGAAGGTGGGATATACCGTAGTTGTACTTTCTCGTTCAGATCCAGAAAAAACGAGATTAATTTGAATTTTTTCTGTTATGGTCGGAACATTCTGTGCTACTTGGCACAGTGACCGGCTAGCCCTGTTTCAGTTCGGCTTCTTTTCTATTTACATTAGCAACGTTACGGTTACCCTAAACCTATCATCGAATTTAATTAAGTTTAAAATATTGAAGTGTAAAATCCTCTTACAGCTACACACTTGCATTCATACATATTAATGGATTTATATTTGCCTTTTGTGTTATATGGACTTCTCGTGTTCAATTCAAATTCATCTGCTAAAAATTAGTGTAAATTGCGCTTTTCAATTGCGAAAGCTGCAATGGCGCGAGATAACATAACGACTTCTATTTTCGAGAGTGTATTTCATTTTTTAGATGTCTCGGTGGAATAAAAAAAATCAAGATTTGTTAGTTTTCTCAGAAAAAAACTGTCCTTGGAAGTTCCAAAAGCTTAAACCTGATGTATTTTCTCAAAATTTGAAAGTTTAAAATCGTACAATAGTTTTTTCGGTTTCCTTGTTCTCTTATACGATTTTCAAGCCTTTTCTGTGTTTTCACTTGCGAGAAGTATAGATAAAAGCCCCTCAAAAGCCCTGATTGGTTCAAAAACATCACCACCATATTAGGGAGCTAACAAATATTTATCCTGTACTGTAGAACAGGATTGTAATTCAAATAGCAGAAAACAGAACGTTTTGGACGAACTGAAAAAACACTGGGATTACTAAAATTTTTTCCTTAACTACAAGATACAACCTTTGCAATACCACCGAGATAATAGTAACATTATAAGAGCCTTTGCTAGACCTGCATCGGTTTTTGAAAGCAGTACCTAACATGAGCACTGCCGTTTACGAAATTTCATGTCCTTGAACTGTTTTAGACTACTTCAGTGCATAATTCGGTTGCCTTGAAAACCGCTTCTTCTGCATCACCAGTAGGGAAGACCACAATCATGCAACAACTGCAGTCCATGCAACTGTCGGACTCCTCCGATGAAGATGGTTTGACTAGTGGGGGTGCTAATATGTCCATGTACTCTACCAGCAATAGTGTATATGGGAATAAATTGAAGCTGGATTGGGAACCGGTGCTGACTGATCCTCAGAATGCATGGAGATGGAAGATAGTAGTTGCGGTGATGAAGGCAAGTTTATTTGTTTCATGAAGTTAAATTAAACTCACCTTTTGTATGATCCACATCAATTTGAGAGTTTTCAGCGAGGAAAGAAGAACAAATATCTAAGGTCTCTTTACTTAGGACCAAAATCGGCTTTACTTTGCTATTATTTGTTTTCAACCAACAAAGTGCAAACTTTTCCATTTTTGTTCTCTTGATTCTTTGAGAATGAATAATTGGGACCTTGTAAGAAAAACGAAACTTATATCTATAATTTCTGAATTCTACAAACTAAATCTAGAAACTAAATTTGTTGCATGTTTAGTGTTTAACTTTAATTTTGGCTTGCAGGGTTGGATGGTGCGTCGTCTGATGCGTACTGAGAAGATCCAGGCACTAGTCACCACAATCCGAGACGCTAGAGACTTCCTGGCCGATCTGCGCTACACTCAGGAGGAATATCCAGGCATGACAGACGAAAAAGATAACGAGTTGCAGCATCGGATCATATCTCAACTAAGAGCGGCCATTTTTGAACTGCATCGAGTTTTCTTTGATACACCTTTAAGAGCTAAATTGGATCTCATCTCGCATTCCAGAAGACATTACTTGAACAAAAGGTTGCAAGGGAATCCATCGGCCTTTCACGCATCCCGAGACTCGCATTCCAGCCTGTCAGCGGCGACTCTGAAGGCACGCGAAAGGAGGCTTCATCCCTCGGGTTCTGTGGACAACGACACTTCGCGATCATCAACGAGAGAGAAAAGAGCCCCTAAGAGGGTAGACTGTGGACTGAGGGGAGGCTTTTTGCCCAAAAAGGAGCCCCAGCCTCCTGTGAAACTTGACCCGAGAAAGTTCTACAGTAAACATGGTATGTAACTGTTTTTGATTCATGTGCAATTCTGACAATTCATTGCAATCAATTGTACAATTGATGTCTTCAAAGTATTCAATAATATATCAAGTCGTATAATTTGAAGGGATGCTAACTGCTACAATGACTTAAAATTTATTTTTCAAGCTGATTTTTTGTTTCAGGTAGGAGTAGAACTAGAAGCACAGAGCGGAGCTAAGCAACCCGAGCATCCGGAAGCCTCGTGATGCAAGTTGTTTGTAAAAATCAGGATTTTGTATTGAAAATTACGTTGTTCACTGTTCGATTTGTCAAATGAGCTCCGAAAAACAGAAGACGATCTGGAATTAGGTGCAATGAACTGAATTTCTATTCAATTCGGCCGTGTGATTTTTTTCCGACTAACCACACTGAAAAGAATTGCAGTAAGTATGTTAAAAAATGATCGTTTTTTCGCCCGGCTTTAGTCAAAGAAAGAGATCTAAGAAAGATAGGTGGTCAATTTTGATATGATGTTAATTCGAAAGTAAAATGGTGAAATAACGAGATTCACTTAATTGACCGAGCTACCGAGCTAAGTTCTGTCTAAGTCGGAATAAAAGAAAGTAGCTCTGAATCGAAGGCTCCTTATCATATTCTTATTATTGCTGCAATTAGCCAGGGTTTTGAACTCGGCCACTAGACTTTTTGCCTCTTGATACTTGTTCATATAATTAATGAGTAAAAATAATACACGTGTTTTAAGTGGCTGTACAATAAATTCCATCTCTACGATTAGTTCGGGTACTATGGGTCGCTGTCTTGCTGCTAATTTTTCATTGAATTAATTTTTACAGATTTGTCTTAAGGTTAGCGATTTGAACAGTATGGGTCCCATTTCCAAAGTGTCTAATGGTCTGGGTAATTGAGTTTTTTTTATACATCTTGAATTTTTTTCCTCCCAAGGAAAACAGCTTTGTTTATAAGAGGAGCTTTTACAGAAGCTCAGTTATTGCCAGCAAAGTTCGCTATCTATCTGTTTCACAACTGTTTGCGAAAGCTCACAAACGAACGCGTAGGATCGAGTTGAAAGTATTGTTTCAAATAGGTTTTTATTTGAAAGTTTTGTTGATTCTATAAGCTGGTTTGAAATCTGATTTAAAATTGTGCCTGCGGACAAATACCAAGTTATCAGTCTGGTTTTCACCTGAAATTGAAAAACTTAGATTTTGTGTTTTAATTGCTCAATTCATATCAATTTTATGGAGGCTCCGGGAGTTTTTGTCTTGCGATTGACACTTTTCGAAATATTTGTCAAAAACAAATTGCTTTGCGAGTATCGGCAATTTGTTGTGAGTATGGTTTAAATTGCAACGGTACGCCTTACTGGGTAATTACAATAGTTGTTAACTAATTTTGATGTGAATTTTTCCCAAACAATTTTGCCTAAACATTTAGGAAAATAATGAAATGTCTTGGATTTTCTTGCGTATGCTCATGCTGCCAGGCGTTTTTTTTTCGATTTTTACTTTAAAAATATTATATGCAGGGTTTGGGCATCTCCCAAATGTATGTTTCATCTAGTTACATTAATTAAAAATAAATATTTCTGTTCTGATTTTCAATTCAAGTTTTTTTTGTTGCCGATTTGTGATTGATTTTGCAAAACTTTCTGACAAGGGGTGGAGGCTTATCTTGAATTGTAATTTTCTGTTTAACTTTGGTCGGTAGCGCCTGGAACAAAAGGACCCGCAGGGGCGAATCTAGGATTTTCACCAGAGGGGGGTCGAATTTTTTTCTTGAAAAGTACATGATTTTTATAAAACATCAACTAATTGAATTGTTTTGCCTAGCTATCCTTTTATAATTCTCCTAGTATATTGTGTTTGAATACGTTGATGGACTACCGTGTTTTTAAGCAGATTTTTGAAGGCTTTTGAGAATCATATTTTTTTCCATTGTTTTCCTATGGTTTTACAAAAGTATTCAATAATTAACGAAGAAAAGAAAAAAATTGAATGTTTTTGCTAGATTTTGAGTAATTGCAGATTATTACGTATATCTTTCTGAACTGAAATTCACTTCTAAAATATAAGGGAAAACAGAAGAATATACAGTTATCTGGTTCAGAAGGTTCCTAGCGCTTAGTGAACGTTCGTTGAACTGATACTGTTTTCCATCTAAAATTCATTTGAGTAAAATCTCATTCAAATTAGATTAGAAAACCCTCAAATTGGGAAATGGTAAACCTAAAAGAAACCAAAAAAGAATAATTTTGAAGTTTACAGGAAAAAAATGTTGAGGTTTTTTTGAATTGTGTGAATTTTGAGAAAATTGTGCTCGAATTTAGGTGTTGAATAGCAGCCTAAAAAACTTCAGAACCAAAGTTTGGTAACCAAAAGTTTTTAGGCGGGTCTTTTAATTCTATCTTTCGGTGATTTAAAATACTGATTTCTTTTAAACGTACTTTAGAGAAAAAAATTATTGTTTAATTGATAGTTTTACCACCAAATTTTATTTTCAGTGTTAAGTTTCATGCAAAAACAGTACTGTTGGTGGAATGTCGATGTATCAGTAATCAAGAATCTGCATTCAAATCTATTATATATTTAAATGCGAGCTTCACTATCTCGCCATGTTTAAGCTTTTTCAACGTATTATTTTTGCATGTTTAAGCTATATCGTATATTGAAATGAAGATTTTTTTTTGATTTTCCAATTTGATTTTAGTGGTTATTTTACCGAGTTTAAATTAAGCAGCTCAATGTCGGATTAGGTGTTGCGAATTCGGTCTCCAATTCTGAATGCCCTAATCATTTTAGCTGACGAAATAAGACGATTTTTGAGATTTTTTTCAGAAATTTCAAATAACAAAATAATTTTAAAAACCTTAAGTTGCCAACCCTGTAGTTGGGTACTGTCAGAACACTGTCAAAGATTGCGAATCTTGCCTCCAAATATGACTACTCAAATCCTTGTAGTTTTCGAGATATGACGTTTTTTTGTGATTTTTTCGAAATCTTTTTGTGATTTTTTCGAAATCTTTCAGAAAACCTAACTCATGATTATTTTTTATAAAAATCTGAAATTCCCAAACCTGTAGTTGGGTACTGTGAGAGTATTATCAACGATTGCAAATCTTGCCTCCAAAAATATGACTGCTCAAAACCTTCTAGTTTTCGAGATACGACGTTTTTTAATTTTTTCAAAATTTTCAGAAAGTTCAAATTAATTATTTAAATTTGAAATTCTCAACGCTATAGTTCGGTGTTGTCAGGGTACTCTGGAGAGTTGCACATTTTGTCATATGCGACTGGTCAATTGCTTTTAGTTTCCGAGATGTGACGTTTTTTAATTTTTCAAAATTTCTCAAAGAACTTATCTACATACTTAGATACAACCTTACTTTCAGCGTACACCTAGGCGTCTCTTATCTTGCCTCTTAATATGAATGCTCAAATCTTTTTAGTTTAAGAGATAAGACGTTTTTTCCATTTTTTTTCAGGAAACAGATTTGAAAAATTCATTAAATTTTGAATTCCTAACCCTATAGCAGGATGCTTTCAGGGACTCTCAGTGGTTGCAAATCTGGCCTCCAAATTTCTCCAGAAGCCCATTAAGTTTTCGAGATGACGTTTTTTAAATGGGAATTTGAAAAAATCAAAGAAGTTCGAAATTACCAAACCTGTAATTGGGTGCAATCAGTACACTAAAAGTTTGCAGATGTTGTTTCAAATATATTTGATTTTTCATGAGTTGTCGAAAAATTTCGAAGCATCGAAGGTGCGTTAAACGCTAGTTATATTTGCTTGAATTGTCAAAGAAAAACTTCTATTAAGCTCTGCTGCAGAAATAACAAAGCTCATTGAGGACTAGAACAGATGAATATGAAGAACAACTTCAGATTAGTAGAAGTGCGAAAAAACTGATACAGTTTTTGCAATTTGATATTGAAATTTCTTCCAAATCTGTTTCATATACGAACCTAAGATGATAATTGTGGTAAGAACTTGGTTTGAATGTGTTTATGGTAAATAAGCAGAAAATTGAACATTTCTCAGAAATCTGCTTAATTAATATGGAATTATATATAAGGATTTTATTTTTGACTCTTTCAATTGAAGTTTGGTTAACCGTTATTGAAAATCCAATTTAGAACCGAATTTTGAAAATTTTCACAGAAATTTCAAAATCAATTCTTGAACTGGTGATCACAACATAGATATCACGTGGAATCATCTGGTACTGTTTTAAAAAAAGTGTGGCCTTCTAATGGAATAGTTAATAGGTCAAATTAAATCAAATCTTATCATGTTTTAGAAATTTCAGGGCGTGTTACCTAATTGAAAAACATCAGTGATAGTTACGTGTAGATTTTGCAATGAAGGTCTTGTGATTAATTTTTTGGTTCATGCAAAGTCAATGGTAAGAGTTTTTGCGCAAAAATTTAGGTTTTTCTCAAAAAAATTGGACATTACCACACAAAATCCAAAAAACAGTTTTTCTTACCATTCTCTGAAACCTTACGAATTCAACTACCTATCTTAATACATTGTGAAACCTATTCCCTATCCTAATACATAGCCTGCTGACCGGATGTTCTTTACCTTATCTTAAAACACAGGGGTCAGCAGCCCCCTCCCCCTCCCCCACTTCATCTCCAACATCTACTACTCTTGCGTCAAATATCACTGGGAAGTATGTGCTGGGGGCACCTGATTTGTACCAGGATTGTGTACATGTATTGTGTTGTCGTCATTGACTGAAGTGAAGTTTACCTATTGACTTAAGCGTAGCTGTTGGTCAGGATTGTTGGATGTCATTCGTTGAAGAGCGCTGGGAAGAGGGTGCTGGTCTTCCCAACAGAGCTGATCGAGGAACTTTTCGAGGGCGCCTGTCCCACAAGCCGGCATTGCTACGACGAATCTGATCGGCTGGAGGTACTTCACTAACGACTACACCAGAGGCCCTTAGTAGAGGGTTTTTGTTCACAACAGCTTTCCGTTCTGTAACGACTACGCCAGAGGGCCTTAGTAAAATCACTTTGTTCACAGCATTTTTCCGTTCTGCGGAACGTTTCTTTAAATCTTGTATTACTTTAGAGGGTACATAGGTCTAATCAGGAACAAACTGGCAGGAGGCTGGGTTTTTGTCGCTAATGAAACGCAGATAACCTGTATTTGTGTCAGAAGCCGTTTTAACTAACGAAAGTGTTGATCTTCAGCATTGTCCATTCGTATGCGCTGTGAAAATGATAGTTTGACTTGTGTAAGCATCCTGGGAGATTCAATTTCCTGTCGAAAGGGTAGCTGCTGTTTTGTTGTGTTGCAATATTGCGTCGATGCTTGCAAGAATTTTGCAGAAATGAGCTGAATCTCGTCGAATTTGAGTCCAATCATATGAAGGCTCTAGAGAAAGGCAACTTTGTGTAGTCTTCTGTACAA